TTTTTAACTTTATTCATTTTCAGCCAAAATTACATTCCATAAACCATGGCACTGTATATTGTGGCAGAGATACTGTAAAGGTCTTACTAGTTCTTCTGGATGAGGAAGCTGCCAATCTGCCTACCCGAAATAAAGCAGAACTATTATACGATGATGAAAATTTAAGTCTGTTTGGAATTACCTCTGTTTTGACACTCTTTAGGTGAGTACTAGAAGTCTTTTATTTTTTTTTTCCCTTCTTGGAAAGGACCTCATACTGCGTGACTGACAAGCCATTTRTATGAGAGAGTAAGGAGAGGGAGGAGAATGAAAAGAAAGGAGAAACTTCCTGGGACCAGCTGAGAATTGAAGAAACTCGAGTTGCAACCAGACACACATCCTCTCTGCACTGCAACACTTGGCTCCCCAATGATATTTTTCTCAGAGTAACTCTGCAGTTTTCCTCAGGACTTGTTCAAATCTACTGTTGGATCTCCCCTGCTCATTGTGCCATTAGTGCTGATTGGAGCTTGCTCTAAATAAGGCAGGTGTCTTTTGTTGTGCACACGCTTTGTTGGGTTCCACAACGTAAACCAGAAGTTGCAACCACAGGGCTGGAAAAGAGCAGAAGTGAGAGCATTAGGGGAAAATATTGCCACAGAATCTCTGAAAACACTGCCCCAGCAGCTTGGRTGAAAAGTTCTGGATTAATTTAGAGCAATGCAGTACTTGAAAGGATTCAAGACTTGAGTTTGTGGGAGGTTGTTTTCTGATTTAAGCACAAGTAATCTTTAGAGCTAGAGCTCTTCAATTGTCTCCCTAAGCAACTCTTTTTGTTTTGAAATGCCTTATCTTTAATAAATAATATACCTTATCTTTGAATAAAACTACCCACTGAGTCTTTTATTACCTTCTCCTTTTACATGGAAGGAGGTACCGATGCCTGGAAATGTAAACCAAATAAATTCTTGTGTTTTTGTTAGTATTTCTTAGTGGTCTATTTGATTTTGGTATTTATTTTCCAGTATATCATACTTTTCTTAGCATTTGTGTGATTAGAATTAAAGCTATAAATTTAGAAGTAATTTATTCAAGGTTTTGAATTTATGATTCTGAATGATTTTTAGGAGAAATAATACAAAGAAAATCTTTCAAAAACTCAGATGAAATAAAGACATTTGCAAATCTAGTTGATGCTAGATAAAAAAAAATAATTTTTTGTCAAATATTTTAATGTTCTGCATTTCTATCGCAGAGGCTTTGTTCAGAGGCTTCTGTTGCTTTACAAGTACAGAATATCTTAATATTATAGAGAATAGTAGCTGAGGTGTCATTTTGTTTTTCTCTGACATACAGGCACCTCTGAGGTATAGCAAGTTTTTATTAATGCTCATCTCAAATACTTGATTTACAATGCTCGCCATATTTTGACCTTCTATGCTGTTAATAATAAATCTGTTTACTGGATAAAGGGCAGTACAGTTGGCAGTAAACTTCAGTGTGATTTTCAATTTTTTTTTTTTTGCTAATTTAAGGTGCTATGTATCAGAGGGTTGATCACATCACATTGTAGTTATTGTTTTATGGTTTTGATCACATGGTAGTTATTTTCCTGTTGTGTGGACTTACACAATACTATCTGCTATCTCTAGAGAGCTCATTATTGAAGAATCCCCTAAAATGTTTAGTTTGTGGCCATTTTTGTCTGGTATCTGGTCATTTTGAGAGAGTAATTTTTATTTTTAAGATGCGGACTAAGGTTAAATTAGAACATCCCTTCTTCTAAAATGTTGCAGTTCAGAGAAATTTTACTTATTTTTAACTCTTTTTTTGTCTTACTAAACTTTTAAATTAATTGGGTAAATAAAGTCTTAGAAAAATGTAATGTGGAGAATTCTGTTATTATGGTTTTCAGAAAGGACTCACAAGAGGAAAAAACAGAAGGGAATGATGAGCTAGAGGAGTTGCATATTTTCTCAATTTAGAGGAGTTGCATATTTTCTCAGTTTAGAGGAGTTGCATATTTTCTCAATTTAAATGGCAAAACTTTGTAAGGTTCTACAGAATTTTTGCACCACAAAAAAAATGGAAATATATAAAATAAAAAAATTTTTCCTGAGGGACCTACAAAGTTCTTTTGAAATGAAGCCACTGTGTTCATATACACACTAGCCTACTGTGCCGATAAACTCGGAAGCTGTTTACAAAAACACAGATTAAGTCTTTTTATTTCAAGAGCAAAAAAGGCCTTTTATAACCATCAGACTTTTTCATCAACGTATTCAACTATTCACATACTGCAATATAGGAGAGTAGAAGCATTCAGTTGGTTGCATGAATACTTCTATTGAAAAGTATGTAAATAGGAGGAAAATTATTCTGGATGTCAACCACATGCTATTCAAGGGGGTGGAGGTGGAATGGTGCCTTGGTATCTCACCACCAGCATTGCAAAGAAGAACACTGTGGTTGCACAACTACAATATTGTAAACATAAACAGTAAAATGATGCCAGTAACTGAAACTGTAAGCCCGGTTTCATTACACTGTCCTCAGTTGTCAAAGGACATGTGGTTGCTTAGGAGGGGAGGAAAAGTAAGGATGGAGGGAGAAGATGCTTGGCTTCCTTTCCTCCTTTATTCTGARGAACTTGATACCACACTTATCTTTCTTAACAAATTTCATTTATGTTAACTAATACTTCTTTTTAATATAGATCTCCAGTACAATCTAAGGGATTATCTCCAAAACCTCTTAGACATCGTGTTCAGAAATTGGTGGATGAAAGAAAAAAAAAGGTACTGCATGGAGTTGATGTATTTTTATGTATATACTGAAATAACACTAAAATTCTCAAACACTTGACTAAAACCTATTCCATAGCTAACACATAGTTGTGATTAACCATGTGATTACTGTTTAACTCACATTGATGTAGTATGAATGAAAATATCTACTACACTAGGAAAGAAAGTCTTAAGCTTACTCAAAAGTATTTACTAATGAAGGTATCTTAATGGAGCTACCCACTTAATCGATAACAATTTGTGCATTCCAGAGCTATAAAAATAAAACTGAAGTTACACAAAAGCAAACAAACAGGCAAAACCCCAAACCATGAATACAGGCCTCTAATTTCAGCTCAGATAATACTGGTATAAAAGTACAGTAATGATTTTAATGTATTTTTTTCAGGTGTTTTTTATTTGTAATTCTGCTAAGACATATCCATAACATTTCTCAGTGAACAGAAAAATGAAGCTTGCTAGTGTAGACCCTTGTTACTTTCTAGGCAAAAGAGCAGTAGCCTCTTGACTGGAACTGTAAGTGACGTTACTTAAAAGCACACCTTCAATGCTCCTGAAAATTGCATTTCTTGTACTGCATTTTACATAAGTGTATTTTTGTGTGTTTAATGTTGTTTTGAGAGTGTAGAAAGAAAGGCTGTATCTTCCTCAGCGTTTTAACAGAGAACTCCATAAGAGTGATTATTTACTAGTTCATGACTTTCATTACATTATTTTCGCTATAATCAGCATATTGCAGCTATATTCATCAAAGAACACAAATGTGAAATATTGTTTGGATAATACAGTGAAAGAAATAGCAGTTCATGAATCTAATTACAGAGTTTCTATTTGGATAAGAAAGCTATGTTAATATCAAAGTACGATGAATTTATGCCTGTTATGTTCGAGACCTTTTCTGCAGACTTGCAAAGGTGGTTCAGAATTAGCTGTCTAGCTATCACAAATATCAACTCTTTCTCCATTTATGGTAGTTCTTGTCAAAGATTTGAATAATTTAGAGAGTTCATTATTTAAGATCCTTCAGGAGCAGGATCTGTTGTATTGCCATGCTTAGATTCATGGTGGCACTTTGCTGTGCAATTTTTGTATGGCTGAGCTCTGATAAAGGTGCTGTGACTCTGATGTGCCTTGTTAACAGGGTAGAAAGGTCTGTCTTCTTCTGTGAAATTCTCATCCCACCTTTGTTTCAACAAGATTGTGAAAAACAGAATAGAGCTGCAGTGAAATAGAAGGAAATATCTGGGGGTTTTAGAAAATAATTTGGGAGTCTTTCGAACACCTACTGAAACTTACTTTGATGCTCATCTGGTGCTTAATACAATGACATTATATGAAAACCAAACTTCAGAGCGACCGACCATCAGGTTCTGTTGGCCCTTCTAAACTTTATTTGGTATTTCAGTGTGTAAAAGTTTTCTGAAGTGTTATCCTATGTAGATAAAATCTGTGAAGCCTGACTCTTCCCTTTAGCAAAGGGGATGGTAAGTTGTGTGTGACTGATGTGTTAAAACTATGAAAGACCTCCTGGAGCTACATCAACTTTGTCCATTTGATCCTGTTTCTTACAGTTGTTAGATATCTGCAGAACACATTATTCTCCTTTAAAGCCTTTTTCAATACCTTCAAATCAACTGTCACTCCCCTCTTGTCCTCACCCCCCACCTCCCCCCAAAAACAATGTACATGCTATATGTATTGGGACAGGTGCTCATTACAATGACTAATTTGAGTTCCTTTCTGTATGAATCCATTTATTTGCTGTGTTAGATTATAATGTCTCATGGTAGAAGTCATTTATTTTGTTCTGGCTTTAATGTGCAGGACCTAGCACTGTGAATTCCATGGCTGTGACAATAGATCTCAAGCGCTAAAGTAATTTTTATTCCTTTCCTACCCACAACATCAGTCTTCCTTGTTATTTCAGAAAACTCTCTTGAAATGTGTTAAGATTTCTTGTAAAATTCACTCTTCTAAGGTTTTTTTGTGTGTGTGATACACTGTTTAACGATTTTTAATATTATTGACTGGKAATTGGTACTACATATAAATTTCATTTAAGATAGTAGTGATTTCATGTTTTTTCTCAACTTCAGTAGTTTGTCTGAGAAGTTTCTTATGAAGTGATGCAAGTTCCATAAAATAGTCCTAAGGACCTTTTGGTGCTGCTGCTTGATATGGTTACATGATAGTCTGTAGTAAAAAGCTGCTATCTCTCCTTATACCATGTCCTACCAAAGTCTTTTTTCTTCGATGATATTTGGCTAAGTGTGAGGGAATACAGTAGTGATGATTGGTTTGGTTTCATACCAAGTCCCATTAAGAAATATGTATGGAATGCAGAAATTTAGGAAAATCTGGTAAAAGTAGAATGAGACACTTCACAAAACTTAAAAAATAATTATGCTTCTACATTCCATGACAGGAGCTGCTCTCTTGTATCTATAGACATTTACATGGAGGACTTGCATATTGATAATATTTAAACCTAGAGAACAATGTCATGCCTATGTGCTTAGTAACTAACTWAAAAATATGGAGAGTAGACAAAATAAACAGGTAACTATGAATTGGAATTTGTGTTYAAAAATAAAATCAATCTGTGGGTATCTCCATTGTGCCAAAACAAATTTCAGATTAATGAGCCAATAAAATATGAGTGAAAGCATGATGAATAATGCAGTACCTTCTGGAAAATGTCAGCCCCATAGCTGCTCTGAAATTCAGGACAAGGGTGGAAAACACAGAAAGAAATATTTCATCTTTCATTGCTCATTAAATATTGAAAGAGATGTGCAGAAAGACCACCCAACTATAAAGGCATTTGTTAGGAGGCAAAGCTATTGCTCTTTATCTCTTGAAAAGGAAGAGGTTTGGGAAAGTACGTGTTCCACCTTTTCATCTCCTCCAGCAAAAGCAGGTAAGAGTAATAGAGAGATACTCCGTTTCATCTCATCTTCCTTTGAGAGAAAAATTAGAAACGGATCATGTTTCAGTTTGCTATGTAAAGTTATAAGGAAGCCTTTTCTGGTGAACGGCATTTTGTGAAAGGGATCTTTAATTTGGAAAGGTGTACAGAATATCTATTAAGTTAAACCTATTTGTTGTTAGTTGTGTTTTTTCTCCTCTCTAATTTTTAAAAGTTAGAAAGCTTAATTGGGCAGGAGAAGTATTTTTATCTAAAAAGAATTGATCCAATATTGTATCTGATACTTTGAATCATATTTCTGTTAATTCAAAATGGGTAGGCTCCCCATTATTTGATTTATTTTTATTTCAATGGAGTGTATGTTAATTTTTTTTTATTGATGTGAGAGAGCAAAGGATGGAGGGCTGTTGCAGTTCACTGCCTTGATTAGGTGCTAGAGCAGCCTAAGACAGCAGAGGTGGAAGAGGATCATCACACCTCCCTCCTTTGTGGATGTTGCACCAGCAAAGATGAATTGGAGTTGTAGGTGAAACTCTGYAACTGTAAAAGGAGTTGAGTGAGAAGATTTAGGAGTAGAGAAGGAAGGAACAAGAACTATTAGACTGTGAATGTGCAACATATGAGAGAGTCATTGTCTTTTTTAATCTAGGGTTGTTTTAGCCTTTTGATGCAGTGCAATGCAATATTATTTTTGAAGATGTGCTGCATTGTTAACATATTTGTCCCACAGCATCTATAAGGACTTTTCAGTAGTCTGGCATATCCTTTTTGCTAGTATAACTGGAGACAACCTTTTCTATATGAGGTATTATTTTCCTCCAATTGGGAACATAACTGTAGTCTTGCTTTTTAAAGAATTTGTGGCTAAAGAGCTCTACCAAATCTTGGCAAGTTTGAACTTCATTGTAATTTTACTGTGCATGGATATTCTTCCAAGAAAAAAAGGTCCACAAAGCAGAAAATTCCAGTCTGCCTTTCTCATGTGACTTGATCATGCCTATATAAAATGACTTAATATCTAGCTTTGTGCATTGCTGTTATTCTTCATTCCTTAGTTCTCAAAATGCTGTTGCTCGAGAGAATTGTTTTGCCTATTTGTGATTCCAGTACAAATAAACTGTGAGTTGGAAAGCTATCAACAGGAAGTTATCAAGTTTTTTCTGTATGACCACTGTGCTTGTGAAGAGAAACTTTACAGTAATAGAGAAAAACAATCTTTCTCAGGTAGTATTCTCATCTACTCTAGAAAGACATGTTTATTTTGAAGTTGTGTAGAATTATGAAGAATACAAAACTGACACTTAGTTTCAAAGTTTATGAAGCTTGCCGATAAATGACTAGCTGGATGAGAAATGGGGAAGGAAGTTCAACACGATTTTTTTTTTTTTTTTTTAGTTCAGTTAAATTGATAAACGGTACATGTGTGGAAAATGCCCTTTTTGGTTCTGTTTGACCTCTACCCCACTTTGCTAGGATCTCTAGCTGTGCGTGTGGAGTACTGGCAACACACAACAGTGAGGTGATTTGAGGTTGATTCTCGAAACAGTAGTAGGTTAATTTRGGATATGGAGAGGCTGGTACAATGTCACGCTGCAAATTTTGATAGATTTTGTACAGTAAAAGCTTACTATTATCTGGGCTATTTGCCAGAACATTTTGTGTTTGTATAACGTGATACTTTTGGTTTGGCAATGACATGCAATGGCATGACTGCTTACTGCTTTCTCTCTTTTCCCCTTGTTCTTGCTTCCTTTCTCTCTTTTCTCCTTGTGCTCACTTCCTTGTTTTTTAGTCTTACCTTTCCTTTTTTTTTTTTTTTTTTTTTTCCCCCAAAAGTTCAAGGGTAAGAGTGGAGAAGAAGTTTTCTCTTTCTTTTTATCTCTCTTTTCCTCTTCCAAATAATACTCTAATTATTTGGCTGGAAAATAAAAACATATGTTTGTTGTTACTGATGTAGGTTTTCAAATTCTATTATGCCATTCCAGTGTATAAAAACCCAATCTGAACATTCTTACTGACTAAATGTTGGCAGTACTGTCTGTATGCAGATGCTGGAAGGATATCTGGAATAGATTATCAAGTAACTTGGAGAAATAAATAGTGCATGCACCATTAATGTTTCATACAAATGTGAATGTTTTATATTCACATTTCAAACTGAAACTTTTAAGATTAAAGAAAGTCAAGGTGGGAGAATGTGCTACTTAATCTGCTCATTAGGTCGACTAATTGACCTACACGAGCTGAAACACAGGATGTCTTTTATTCTATTGTACTTTCTCCCAGCTGGAGAGTGGTAACAGTGGATCTCTTTGTCTGCAATGCAGGAGAAACTCTTTCTTTACATAGGAATAACAGCAATGACCCCCTCTTGTGAGGCAAAGTGGCAGTAAGCCTGACTTTGTTTTACACCATTTGTATACAACTTCTTGATTAGCAAGTTGAGTTCCTTGCTCTTTTCCCTTTCCTAGAGCTGCGGGTCATTGGGATGTTGGTGCTGAGCCTCTCAAATCAGTGGAGTTTAGGGAATTGATGTTTAAGAGCTATTACAAGTTGTTGACAGACATCATTATATGCACTTCAGTCACATTAAGTTCTTTTTTTTCCTTTAAAAACAATACAGAGAGGCTTTATTTTTTGATTCAGCACTGGGCTTGTGTTCTTTCTTTGCTTTCAGGCTATTCAGATTTTCTTATTGTTAACTTACTCAATGTAATAGTCTTACTAGCAAATACATTCCAAGAGCAGCTGGGAAGTTGGACTGCTCCAACAGATTTGCATAGTCTTACACTCTGCATTCACATATGCCCTTTAGATTAATAGAGCATCAATTGAAACGACTATATTAACAGCTATAGCTTTTCTTGTTGCTTGTAAATGACTAAATGGCATGTGATGCAATGGAGAGTTACATTTTGAGGCATATTTCAAGATTCAGTAAAGTGGAACCTGAGACAGAGATGTTTGTTATGATGCAAGTTTTCAGTGCTCGAGCTTTGCTTCTGTACTCTGACTCCACATATGTGTGACTTTGGGTAAAAAGAAATCTTGATATCCCAAAACACAGTTGAATGCTTTTGTTGGTTTTAGAACAATAACAAACAGGCTTATTTCCCCAAGTCTGATATTTGTTTATTGTGTTTTCATCAATTCAGCATAAATTATAGTTTATTTGCCGTATACGATATGAAGAAAATGTGATAGATCTGTGAGCAAGTTATTGTTGTGTAATTTTAGCATTTGACACTTGCTGTAGTTTAAGAATGCAGTGAATTTTTAAAGGATGAAGACAAAAAATTAAAGGAATACAGAAAATAATGGAAAATATTTTTATTTAGTATTGCTGTGACCTTAAGCCAAAGAAATTAAAGTCCTTTGTATCCTGCATATTGTGGTATTGCACCTAGGATGTTGATTAGTTTACTTAAACTAGATTCCAGTTGCAGTCCATTACTCTTATCTTCCTGTGTATAGCTTACTTCTCTCTCTCTTGTTTTATTTTTTTCCTGAAAAGAATATGAACACAGTTAATGACTCAGTCTGGATATAGACTTGCAGCATGCAAAACTAGATGGATATCTCTCTGTATAATCTCTGATAAAGTTGTCAATGCATAGGGGATTAACCCTTGGAGAACAATAGTTAAAAGGAGTGTTGACCTGTTCTCCCTGTGGATTCTATCTTTCTTCAGCTGTTACCCAGCAGAGAAAAATTAGTTTGGGAGTTGAYTGACAGTTGGGAAAATTGGACCTTTTTAATTCTTGAAGAATATACCAAGCTTTAAGTAAGACTGCTTTGCACAGGCATTTCAAGTCAGAGAAAACTTTTTTTATTATAATTTTTAATCTCCCCTGAAAAGACCGCCAACTGCGGTGCCATGCACAGAGATTCAGGCTGCGTCTTGATGATGAAGAGCTAGAATCTGTTGGCTTATTTGTGTGAAAGCAGAATCTGATGAAAGTGGCATAAGCTTCAAGCAMATTTGGAGGGTGAAGACCACTGTGAAAGCAGACTTTCACAGATTTTATTTATGCTTGAGATTTTATTTGGATCAAAAAACCAAAAACACTTCAATGGTCAAACCTGAGCTATAAGATTTAAACAGGCTTTTGTGTTAAGAAGAGAAGTAGACTTTTACTAGAAAATTTTATCTGAAACGTGGTAGTAATCCTCTTATTCCACACATCTGGGCCCTTTATATATTTAAAAAGTGGTATTTCTCCAATGACAACATTTCTTACTTTTTTTCCCCTAATACTAGCACTGTGACACCAATTCAGCTCAAACTTGCTTGAATTCACTTGTGACATTTAATAGAGTTATTAACTAGAAATTCTAATATTTTGTGTTCTGTTCTACACTATGCCTCTCAACCTCTTTTGCATAATTTAGTAGACTTCCAAACGAAATGGAGAGCAGAATTTATTTCACATAATCTGCTATATTTGTGATAAATTGGCAAAAAAAGGCAAAGCTTGACCTCCAAATTCATGGAGTCATAGAATCTTAGAATCGTTATGAGTGGAAAAGACCTTTGAGATCATGAAGTCCAACCGTAAACCTCTCTACATCATACCTGTTAAACCATAGTTGGGGAAACCTTAAGTATAGACTGCAGAAGTTTGACCTGGAACTCCTGATTCCAGGAACTACGGATATGACGGCTATATTACAGCTTCTACTCTTTTTTGTTTGTTTGTTTGACCACACATTTTGTTTAAGCTATGATATGCGACTAGGTTTCTTGCTTCAGGGATGAGTGGGTGTAGATGAGCATGAAGAACTATATATTGTAGTGTTCCCCGGTACTTCAGGCTTCTGGTTGTCAAATTAATATGGTTATGTTTTCAAAAATGTGACAAACAGTGCTTGTAGATGTGAAATCCAAAGTTTATCTGAGAGTGCTGAAATAGCATTTTATATTTCAGTTTAGGCCTGCACAAATGTGGTAACTGTAGCAGCTGAGAGAGCTGTTCATAATGTTAGTCTATCAAATGAGGGAAATAACTTTGACAGAAAATCTTAGGTGGATAAAATTTTTAAAAACTTTTTACAAGAGATGAAAAAATACTTTTAAAATTTATTTTAAGATTCTTCCATAGATATTTCTAGAAAGCCTTTATCATTTGTAAATGTGTGAACAATTTAAATATTGATTTGAGAGGTTTTTATTTTTCTTGTATTCTAGGTGATTCATAAACATGAGATTCATAAACATGAGACAGAAGACTTAGAAGAAAAAATATATAAAAAACCTATTTCATTAATCTTTCAGATGTTCTTTTAAAAAAAAATCTTTTAAATAATTAAAGCTAATACCAATACTTGCAGATGAAGCAACCTTCAATCAAATCCCAGTTTGCATGTACGTATAAAGATGCATCAAATGAAAGGAAGAGTCAACACTTCTTCAACAGTAGCATGCATCCGGCACCAAAGCAGCTTTTAAAAGATGAATCTCTCACAGGTAAGCCAAACTAGGATTGAATAAGTGAATGTCCTAGCTAGTATTTCAAATGTTATCAAAATAAACTTTAATAAAACCCAAATAGAAATGTTTTTAAAGAAAAAGTCATGATTCATTGTTTTGTGTATCCTATCAGTCAACTGTCTTTATGTCATGATTTTAATCTTAGTATTTTAAAATATAATTCAATTTGAAAGGTATATAGATGTGTTCATAAGGTTAAAAAACATACATTCATAAAAAAATCTTATTCAACCAAAATTAAGTGAAATTTATTTTTTTGTCTTTGAAAAAAGTAATTTGTTTTACCTATCTTCTGTAAGTTGTGTTGTATATATAACTCTGAAGCAACTTAAGCAACTAGCCCAACATTGTACAGTTAAAAATCTACTTCTGTAAGGTATTTGATATTTTATGTTTCTGAGCAATGTCACTTTAAAATAACACTACACGTATTAACAAATATCAAATATAACTATGAAAACTGGAGTAGTTTTGCTTTATTTACATAGCACTTGTTTTGATAAAAATCTTATGGTAATCTTGTGATAGAAAAAGGGCAAACAATCCATGTAACTTTTTATTTCTTCCCATATGTTTTTGATATATTTACACAACAGAAGGTATGAATTTGTGTCTTGACATACCAGTGCTTGGAACTATTTCTGAAAATGTTCGCCGGAAAAGAAGTGAAACAGAAATGGGAAAGCTGAATTGTCAGCCAAGAAGCAAAAACTCCAAGAATGAGCAGATGGATTTGAATAATGGCAAAATAATCTGTGATAAGGAAAGTGAGCTCTCTCTGCCAAAAAATGCTAAAAGACCTAAAGTTTCAAACAATCCCCAAAAGAAATTTGACAACAAAATTGGTGGGGTGGGAAAAGGCAGCAAAACTGCAATAAAGAATAAACTGATTCCTGGTCAGGCAAAATTAACTTATTTTTTTCGACTATAAATTTTGTATTTGTTTTTATTTTTGGTTATATAGACTTTTTCAGAAGTTGTAATTTTGCAAGTAAAAGGTGATATTCATGAATTGCTTCCCTTTATAAATACAAATAGGTGAAATTCCTTGTGTGTAATTAGACAAATATTTACAAATCTGAATTATGCAGGTATCTTTTATTTTTAATAACAGCACATCATTACTAATTATACCTAGGTTATTTTTGACAGTGAATCATGTTTCCCTCTACATTGCAGTGTGAAAATATTTGTAGATGCATGTTTGTAGCAATACACAGTAACCTCAAGTTGCATTAAATTCACGAGGAAATGTTTGATCTTCAGAGAAGATAGTGCAGACCAGGAGTTTTCAGATTTGCCAACAAGGTCGATAGACTCTTCCCAACATACACCTGAGCACTAAAGGAAAAAAAAACATGACAAGGTTTAGATTATGGCTCTGGGAATATGATTAACTAAAAAAATACACTAAATAAAAATTTAAAAATCATATGAGCAGCCCTAGCAAATCTTAATTATGATATATCGTTTCTAAAACAACCTTCATCATATGGCTGTAAGGATATTGCATTACACTTTACAAGAATGAAGCATTTTTGTATAAGAATGAAAGTGTACTTACCATCAAAATCTCTTCTTCCTATAGGGAGTTTAGCTGATTTTTCTTCATATCCAGTGTCTCTTCTTCCCTGTATTGATTCAATATTCTGAATTTCAGCATCAGCTGGAAAAGCCATGGCACCCTTCAGTGCAAGATAAGGTAGCCGCTTTGAACCTAAGTTGATTACCATACCCTGGTTTAGGAAATCATGTTTGGAACCCATGTCCTGTTTTAAGGAAAGAAGAGTAGCAGTTTGTCTTTAAAAATTTTAAGTAGTTGTGTTGACTTTTTAAATTATCAACATAAGTATGGGGATTTAACATAATGATTTAAAAGTATGCAATGCTCTGCATTACATCTTTGGCTAAAATGGTTTTAAGTAAAGTATCTATTAATACAATATTTATCTCTTATTTGGTAAAGTTGCTTTTGACTACAAGTTATGATTAAAATCAGATTTTTTTTATTCAAATGCCTGAGACTAGATACTTTTAGGTGAAAATTTCATCCATGAATATATTATGCTGAACTGAATTTTTAAGTTGCTCACCAACTTATTGAGTTCATTTATCGCACTTGTCTTCTAAAGGATTATAAGGAAAACTTCCATTTTGTGATTAAGCAAAGCAGGTAAAACTGAAAACTCACAAAGAACGTTGGGCTTCTGTCTTCCCCTTCATCCACAAATCTACTGTCTTCAGTCTTATAATTCTTGAGCAAAGGTGTAGCTCCTCTGCTTTCTGTTCTATCTCCATTTCGAAGTACTCTTCCTAAACTGAATGTGTTCAGCAACATATCTTCATCTTCTACCTTTTGCAGAGATTTTGACACTGAGATTAGAAAACCTTGAGAAAAAAGAGAAAGAAAGAGTATTAACGTGTATGATGAAACACACATTCTTGGTTACTTGATGTTTGCACAGCAGGTAAGCAATTTTCAAGTTTTGAGGGCTTCAGCTGCAGCTTAACATGCTGTAGAGCTTTTACCTGCTTTATATATTTTACAGAGTGAATGGAAACTACTTCAGTTGCTGATGAGTTCACTCTTTTTGAATGACTCATATTGAAGAGGGTAACCTTTTGTATAATCCTGCTAATCCCAGATATTGCTTAGAATTACTCAAACATTTCTTTAGCATGGATAGTTTCTTTATATGTTTTTAGAACAGTACAGATCAATAGTTCCTCTTGATGGATCAGTATAGCAAAGTTCATAGGAAACAGTACACATAGCGCACATTTGTGTTCTTCATAAAGCTTCATTTCTGTTTAAGGCAATTTGAGGAAAAGAACTCATTTACTGAAGTAAGTGAGGCAGTTATAGAAGTGTGAATCTAAATTTRTTAAAAATCTTAGGCAAAATGGATTTACTGAAGAGGTGAAAATCTTAAAATATAACAACAGCTTGGATCACTGCTGTATTAGAGCTGAAGTTATTAGTTTTTATTTCTCTGTCCATTATGTCAGGTTACCTTATGTAAAGAACCCATTTGTAGAAATCCTTATTTACAGCAAAATATTTGTATTTGTCAGCATTTTTCTTTCTGAAAGTAGAATACTACCCAGCTTCAAATATAATGTAGCCAGATATATTTGCTAAGACTGTAGACAAAAAATTAAACTTCAGCTTTTCATTATAAAAGACTCTGAGGTCTTATTTATTATCCTATGAAAGAAAACGTAGAGTTTCTACATAACATGCTTTTTCACTTCATCTAGAAAGCAAATGGGACCAGTTCATATCTAGCTAATCTCTTAATATCAGTGATGCAAGTCACCTTATTCAGTGATTTAGAAGTAATGCACAGAATCACACCCAAACATCCTGCTACTTAGGACAAATTGAGCTCTTGGAAATTGAACAAGAAAATGACCTAGCAGATGTCTCCCTTGCCTCCCTACCTCTCTTTCTTTTTTGAATTTCCTGACTTTTCCCTGCTTTCATAAACTTGAAACATTTTTGATTGTTTGTTCATCGTAATAATGCTTATTTTGCAGCGGTTCTCTTTTTTGTATTGTTTTCTCAAGGTCTTCATTGGCACCTTCTGCTAATGTGTTATGAAGGTGAAAGCTAGACTAATATTTAAGTCTAGACATCAAAGGTAGTCTCAGACAGCAAGTATGTATTTTGTCTTTGTCCATTACAATCCTGAAAACCAAAACTCTGGTTTAAGTGTTTGAGTGCCAGAGCAGGTATTTAGTTTCAGGCATGCTTCAAAACTACAGATGGCATTTCTTGGTCTGAATTATGTAGTCATATACATTAATGCCTAAAAGCACAATCTTCATGGAGTTCTTTTCCACTCTTGCAAGTGCAAATTGAGGACCAACTGGGTAGTGTAAAATAGAAAGAACTTTGGGGAGGAAGGGAAAATGAAGGAATTAAGCAATGCTGCCTTTTAAGCAAAGAAACACAAAGTAGTCAACTTATAATTCACTGAATATCTGTGCTCTGGAGACTGGCTAGCATCTAGCTTGGCACATTTCTGCAAGGTTCCCTGCATATTTCCCTGTCTACAGAGACAGCAGAACATTTGGCTCGCAAACGACTGCAAGGCATCCTGTGCAGGACTGTTCAGGGACAGAAAAGCATTGCATTCTTAGTATGTTACCTGAAAACATGTTGAAGCTTGATCACTGTTTTGCTTTTTGTGGCTTAATTTATCCCAAAATATATGTATTCTTATTTGGTTCTGTACTATAGTTGATACAGCAGAATTTTCCTAGACAGGCTGACTGACTTACTGGAACTCTTTAGTATTTGGATTTTCAATCACATTTTATTTTTCATGCAGTTTGGTCTGGGTATGTGACACAAGTCCAAAAAGTGTCATAATCATTTCCTTGGCACTTTAGGACTAAGGGAAAAAAAAAGGCAAACTCAAGCCCCAAACAGATATAAGTTAAAATGTTAGACTGGTTTTGCCCAACACATGTGTAGGTCTGGCAGCAGACCTTTTTGTCTGTATGTTTGTATGTGACTTAGGAATTGAGGAACATGCCATTCACCCAGTAATTCCCTTTGTGAGGAGATCTGCTTATTTGGAGTTAATACCCACAGGTTTGCATCATATATCACAAATATAAGATTTTGTTTTCAAATTCTTCCCTTCCAATTTGCATACAGAATAGTTAAAATAGGAATGACTGACCTGGCTCCACTGAGAAGTCCATCTACAATGTCTATATTGTCATCTACTGTAATTAATTCTCATGGAAGAATATAAGAACAAGGCAGACATATGATACTTTCTCCAGTAGATTCTGGTGCTTCTTTAACTGACCATTGATTATCTGACCATGATTTTGAAGATCTGAGGTGGCTCTAGTGATAACTAGTAGAAAATCTCCTGATTGAACTGTTGTATTGCTGTAAAGTCACATAGAATGCTGACCTGGTTATTACAGATGCTGGAGAGAATGTATTCAGATTTTTGGCTGTTCAGAGCAGCAGATAATACTTGTTCTCTTACAGGTTTCCAATGTATTGTGCAAGTTGCTTTTCAATGTCTCTTTAAATCCTAATAGACCAATAAAATGGTTATGTATGTTTTAATTTTTCTCTTGAAAGTTTTGAATTTTAGTAAAAAGAAAAAAAGGGGGGAGAGAGGGCAAAAAAAAATAACCCAAAGGAAAAAAATCTTTGGTATATATGGTAGTCACATTATTATTAATATGCTAGCGTCTACATTTCTGCATTGCTTATAAAATTGGCTTTTCTATAATAAATAATAATGCTAATTGCAGAGAAATCAGTTATTTCAAGAAACTTCTTGCTTCTGCATGGAACCTTGTTAGCATGAAATATGAACTATTAACATCTGAAATCTGATATGGTGTGGATAGCTAAATAAAATCTAAGTGATGCTATTTAATATGCCTGGAATAGCTTCAGCTCATTTTCAGTTCTTCAAGAAATGGGTTGTTAAAGAGTTATAGCAGGTTTACTTAGATTGGTTACTACTGTGATTCTCATGCTTGACCTTTGCTTAGTGTTGGCTGTTGAGCAATAAATAAATAGGTATATCTTTATATACAAGCAAGAATTTTAGTATTAACAAAGCAGAAATGCTTCAGAATGCAAGAGGGAGTATTTAAGGAATCACAAGTCATTTTTACTAAATATTTAGAAGAACACAAAAATGCAAGTTCGGTGATAATTTCCCCAGCAACATACTAGTTCTGTTTTTAAAATGGTGTGTGTGTGTGTGTGTGTGTGTGTGTGTGTGTGTGTGTGTGTGTGTGTGTGCGCGCGTGCCTGTGTGTGTGTGCATTTTACTTATAATTTGACTTTTATAGATTTTATAGAGTTCAGTCCTATTCGAGCATACTTAGAAGCTGTTTGTGAATTGAATGGAGTTGCACATCTTGAAGCTTGGAAGATTCATTTAAAAACTTATTTGAACCCTTCATAATGCACCGGTTCGTTTGTGTGATTGTTTAATAGCAGAAGAGAGAATGAAGAGAGTCTTTCTTAGCCTTAGAAAATGTGAAAGGATGGAGCTGTCTGCATGAAACACAAAGATAAGCAAAACATTTGTGTAGTTTTAAGTAACAAAATGACATTTTCTTACCTTGGTAAGTAACTAAACATATTAGTTAAAAAATGAAATCCCTGATATTTATTCTAGTGAGTGATGTGTTTTAAAAGTAAACCTCTATCATTGTGTCAAGGATTTAGCTAAATCTCTTTAAATTTCTCATACATAGAGTTTTTTTGCATGATTGTTTTTCCTGTCTTGGAGAGATTAAAAGGTATGGTATTCTTACTTAATTTGTGGTTTATTTAGCACTAATAAAAATGCAAAGTGCAGGTCACAAAAATGCCAGAAAGGCATTAGTTGCTTAAAAAGAGCAGCTCCTACTCTCCACTTACCAGTGAAAAAGAATCTCATAATTTCTGCAGGGTCCTGCACCTGGGGAGGAATAACCCCAGGCACCAGTACAGATTAGGGATCGACCTGCTGGAGAGCAGCTCCATGGAGAGGGACCTGGGAGTCCTGGTTGACACTAAGTTAACCATGAGGCAGCAGTGTGCYCTCGTGGCCAAGAAGGCCAATGGGATCCTGGCTGCATCAGGAGGAGTGTTGCCAGCAGGTCAAGGGAGGTGATTCTGCCCCTCTACTCAGCTCTGGTGAGGCCACACCTGGAGTATTGGGGGCAGTTCTGGGCTCCCCAGTATAAGAGGGATGTGGAGCTTCTGGAGAGGGTCCGGAGAAGAGCAACCAGGATGATTAAGGGAATGGAACATCTCTCGTACGAAGAGAGGCTGAGTGAGCTGGGCCTGTTTTCTCTGGAGAAGAGACGGCTCAGAGGGGATATGATTAATATGTATAAGTTCAGGAAGGGAGAATGCAGGGAGGAAGGGGACAAGCTATTTTCACTGGTGGCCAGCGATAGGACGAGGGGTAATGGCCATAAGCTGGAGCACAGGAAGTTCTGTCTCCATGTGAGGAGGAACTTCTTTCCTGTGAGGGGGATAGAGCCCTGGCACAGGCTGTCCAGGGAGGTTGTGGAGTCTCCTACTCTGGAGGTCTTCAAAACCCGCCTGGATGCCACCCTGTGCCACATGCTCTAGGTGTGYCTGCTTGAGCAGGAAGGTTGGACTAGATGATCTSTAGAGGTCYCTTCCAACCTYAAATATTCTGTGATTCTGTGACTTTAGGATAGGCAGTCCTTTCTCTTCAAAGGAGGATGTAAATGAGATCCATCAGGCACTTTTGGCAACAAGCTGACTAGAYAGTAGGAAGTGATGAGGATGAGCTGTATGTGGAATCTCAATGCCTTCTTTAGGATTAGCTGTATCACTTGCATTCATCCTTGCATTTGCTCATCTGGGATCCAGAGCCTGGAACTGTCTCTTGAAGGCAGACTCTCACTGCTTCTTTCCTTTTCTTAGCACCTCACTACATTAACCGTCTATCTTAAATACCTAACGTAGGTGTTACAGTGCCAGCTTGCTCTCCCCTTCTCTTCCTCCCCTGCAAACAAACAAATAAATAAACAAAAAAGTGGGAGCTGGAAGTGTAGATTCCCTGTGCAAAAAACTTCTGAATAACAGTTTGCAGGGCTCAAAGGAGGCAGTTAACACTCTTCATTTTGGACTGCATAGGAAATTAATATTCCTCTCCAGCGTTGATTCATTCTTCCTTCCTGTTGAATCAGTAGTCACCTAGAATATGTAAGCATGATTTAGACACTGGTGGATTTAGTGTGATGTAGACACTGTGCTGCTTGTGATGGAATAGCCCTGGACTTGCGCAGGGGCACAGCACTAAATATTTAGAGAACATTTCTGTTTTGAATTATATAGCCTACTTCTTTATAGAATTAACTGTTGCATTTGTTCATTTTCCAAGTAGAAGTTTCCCTGTTGGGAAAACTTTAATTTTTTTTTTTTTTTTGTGCTGTTTGTTATTTTAAAAAGAGTTGCAGAGTTTCATTGGAAAGAACTGCAAATAAATGCATGTATTTCATAAGAAGGAAATTGTATAGCAGAAAAGCTAACATATACTGTCTATAGAGTTTCTTCTAGTGTTTTTTGTCTGKTTTAATTACAAATGGACAATCTTCATAGCTGCTCAAGAATGCCAAAAGCAAAGAATTTTWAAAAATCTCTTAGTTTTGAAAGAAATCCAATGCAAGGAGGCCTTGCAAGAATTTCTACTTCTCTGTCTTCTAACTACTACTTGTTATTTTCATTACTGTTAAGGTTGTTACATCTCTTGTTTCAGTACTTCATGGAAATTTAAGCCCTCTTGCTATGAACCTGCTTAGATCAGAATATTTGCAAACAGAGCCAAAAGGATCAGATCAGAAAGGATCAGATACTGCTTTTAGTCTGACTGACATGCACATATATGTGTGTATATATATGTGTGTATATATATACACAGACACACAAACACACACTCTTCTCTTAGTTTTACTGCTTGGGCAACTTCCTACATAGCATAAATTATTTTAGACCGTTACCAAGATGGCCCCTACTCTACTGCATCTCAACTTTCAGTGAGAGCTTTTTCTTTTTTTTCTGTAAGTGGTTTTAATACTGAAGTCTCTTTTCCTTTCTAAAGAGATTCATCAATGTAAATATATTTTTATTCAGACTGTTTCTGGAGGTGGCAACAGTTGGCTGTAAATGATCACACATTGGTCTGCTTGGTCTAAATCTTTCTTTGTCCATGCATATATATTCTTTTCAGATCCAGTCAAGATTYCTTCTGTTATACAAGCCAACCTGTCACTACTCAACAGTGCTTATTCGTGATTACTGAAAACAACTGGATGGTGTATGTTTTTACATGATTTTGGCAATTTTTTCTTATTTGAGAGATGGTCTCAATATTTTACGGAAAATGAAACAAGAGCAAACCTGTAAACACACAGCCTTCGTAATTACCACATCATAGAAACTTACAGGTAGTCAGATCTCTTGCTATAATTAGCTCTTAGGGAGTTCAGCCAAGTACAATTAACTTAAAACAATCAAAAAAACAAATGCATGAAGAAAAATCTTTTKCACATTTTTGTTAAATAAGTATAAAATAGAGTTATGTAAAATGCAACTGGAAAGGACTTTGTCATCCACTGAGCAAGAAAAACTCTGCATGACCTGGTCATTTATGTCTGCATTCATCCTGACAGTTATTTTCTAACCTGATATTCATTTCTAGGATAGATTCCATTAACTTCACAGTCAGTCTGTTACAGTGCTTAACCAGTCTTATTGCTTTAAAAGAAAATATTGGAACTAAATCTTCTTCTGTAATTTAGGTATGTTACTATTTTTTCTTTCATACATGACCATAGAAAACAGACTGGAAAAAAGATTATTCTTTTCTTCGCAACAGACATATTGCATATTTGATGATTSTTATCATAGGAGGAAAAATTGTAGAAGAAACCAGCATCGATAATCCTAATACTTTCATTCTTTTGACATAAGCTTCATTTTCTAGGTAACTAATATATATAACTATGATATATATATTTGCTTACATATGAACTTTGTTCCACCTGTTTCTTGACGTTGCTTTGCAGTTCTTGCAGTCATTGTTTTTTGTTTATGCTATTATCATGATTGTCTTTTTTTCTCTGAAAGGCTGACATTTCTTGACTCACRTGTAGCTTATGGTCTACTCTGGTGTAATGATCTAAATCTAACCTAAAAAGACTAAGCCAAACTGAGGCTCCTTTTTCCCTGTAGRGAGATGAGAGGACTTTGTCTAGGAAAAAATACAGGAAAAAGCAAGAAATGCAACTGAGATTCAGGACACCCTTTTCGTAAATGATATATGGCAGAGGCTGTGAATTTCACTTTCCTGTACAAACCTGTTGGGATTCCTATGATTCCTACTCTTTATCATTTGTGCAGTTTTGGTACTGCTGAAGAGAGTCATTTGTCTCGGACAACTAGTACTGAACAGAAGGAGAAATTCTTTAGATTTTTTTTCTCTGAAAGCAATGATCTGGACCCACCTTACTGGAACCTGTAGTGGCCAAAGCCCTAAAAAGGGGCAGTACATATACACTGCCGATATACATGCAGATATATCTTAAGACTGATCATGGCTAGGATTTGAGAGCAGCAGGAGTTCTTTTTATTTTAGACTTTATAAAAAAGACATCTGGTTAAGGTGTAGGAAATTTAGTACATTCCCTTGAAAGGACTCCTTCCATATTCTTTGTGCTTGAGTTTGCATTCATTTTTGTGAGATGAGTCTGCTGACTGTTTACACTTTGAAAGTTTGTCAACTCTTGTATTGTCTACATGAGGTTAAAAGATGAATGAACCCAGCTTTGCCACAATCCATTTTCACAAACCAGATGTATGGTACACCAGTACTTTGTAAGAATCGAAACACAGTCTGTTACAAGAAAAGTTCATCAGTAATGTTAAACTTTTTGGTTATGTTCTCTCTATTTCATTTCTCATTAGAAAAAAAGAAATGTCTTTTTCCTCTGATTTTTTTAAAATAAGATTTTGTTCTTATGGCAGAGTATAAACCTCAAATTTAAGAACTTTGCTTCCTGTGAAGCAATAAGATTGAATTATGATGAGTCCACAAAGTGTTTTTACAGTTCTTTGGACATGAGGTACGTTCCTGAGATACACTCTTTTGTAAGTCACTCTTGAAATGAACACAAAGAGGTGTTTACAAGAAACTGTGATGCCTAAAGAGAACAGAGAAATGCTCTAGTGAACTCTATGTGGCAGACTGAGTCATGCACCTAAGGAATAGGTCTGGGTCTCATTTGCTTCCTAGTGCTAGGAACCAGAAATATTTATATTTTGTTACTGGGAAGTGAAATTCAAAGCCTGCAAGAGCTTTGAGATCACAATATTTGTGGCCTCTAAATTAAMGCTGTAGGTTATTATCAAGCTTTTCTGAAGTACGAATTGCTATTTCCTCCTTAGCACAGAGCACATCTGTGATACCATATTAAGACATCACCCTCAAGGTTTACCTTAACACCTGATTGGAACTGCTTGCATTTCTTCTCTTTCAAACAGTAGAAAATGAATTTTTTTGTTTTAAGATCACTTCTTGGAGCTTCTGATACCTGTTACTCAGGGAAACAAATTCCAATACTCATGATTATTATTCAAGATTTAGGAGTGGCATTATAACTTGTGATTATTGTATTTTTTCTTGACCACTATCCCTGCCAGCAGCCTAGTCATGTTGCATCTGCTTCTGTTACCTAAGTTAGGTCTTTTTTTCATCCCAAGCAAGTGAACTCTGTAGTTGATTAAAACATCTGTGTCTCAGGCTTTGAGCAAGAGGAGTTACAGGCTTTTAATCATAAAGTTTCTGCACTGTATTATCTTTGTCTGCAGATGAGACTGTGCTAGCATGGATATTCAAAAGTACAGCCAGATATTTA